GATCCCAAGAAGAATGGACGCACACCGCCAGCGTCCTTGATAAGTTTTTATAAAATATATAGATTAATAGTTACAGGTAATACTTAAGACAGAGCTAGTATATAAAAAGTCCTAGTCACTGGCCAGCAGCATTGTACCTAATATTAATCTCTGTATGTTATTTTGGGCATCCATGTGGCAGCGGGGCTTAGGTGGTTGGCAGAAAGACTTATCGTTACACACCAGCCCAGCTCCAACTGTGGCCCTCCAAGAATTCTTCCAAATATGATATAGGAGGGTTACCCTGGGGTCCTTATGTAGACCCAAGTTCAAGGCTGCAGAGTTGAATCTACATGGGAAAGTGGTTTTGTGCTTCAGCCCTACTTGTCTCCTTGCTGTGATGCAATAAATGTAAGTAAATAAAGGTTTGCCTCAGTTCAATTTTGAGGGGTTACTGTTTATCACGATGGAAGGAACCTGAGGTGGCTGGTCACATGGTGTTCACAGTCAGGAAGTAGAGAGATGTATGCTGGTCCTTGGAGGGCTTCCCTTTTCTTTATTTATTCATTCAAGAGCCCCAGTCCATGGGATGGTACTGTCTGCATCCCGGAATTGTGCTTATAAACACTGCTAGAGGTGTGCCTCAGAGGTGGTTCCAAGCCCAGCTGGCATGAGGACTAACCATTACACCCACCCCACTGTCAGCAGGGCAGGAGACTCTGGCTATCCCTAAGCCAAAAAGTGGCAACTGGATAGGAGCAAAGGGAGGTCAATGTATTAGTTATTTTTATCTTTGTCACCAAATATCTGATAGAAGTAACTTAAGGAAGGACTTTTTTATGGCTCATAGTTGATGGAGCTATTACCCATAGTGGCAGGAAGGCATGACAGCTGCCGGGGTGGGGGTTGGGTACTTGTAGTGTGGCTTCTTCATATCGCTACAGATCAGGAAACATGGGCAGGAAGAAGAGTCAGCCTTTAACCTTCAAGCCTCGCCATCTCCACATCCAAAGGCTCCATAACCTCCCAGAACAGCGCCACCTTCTGAAGAGCAAGTGTTCAAACACATGAGCCTGTGAGGGACGCGTCACATTCGAGTCTTAACAGGCAGGAGAAGGAGGGAACCTGTGTGGGAGCCTCCCTGTCCCTTGCTCTAGAGAGACTCCCTATTTGGACTTCTGGGTGCAGAGACGAGAGGATCATGACAGCTCACTGACTAGCCAGCCTAATCAACATGGCCAGCTTCTACTTCAGTGAGAAACCCTGTCACAAGGCAATAAAGAAGACGTGCTCAGTACCCCGCTCTGGCCTCTCCCAATGTGCACCCATGAGCACATTCATCCAACACTCACATGAACATATGCAACACACACACACACACACACACACACACACACACACACATTTATTTATTTATTTATTTATTTATTTATTTAGGTTTTTCAAGACAGAGTTTCTTTGCATAACCCTGGCTGCCCTGAAACTCACTCTGTAGACCAGGCTGAACTCACAGAGATCTGCCTGCCTCTGCATCCGGAGTACTGGGTTCAGAGCGTGTGCTGCCACAACCTGGCTCTTTTTATTTTTTAACTCCTACTCATAAACAAGTTGATGCTTGCAGTCGCTGCTTGCTGTTCCCATGTTTACCGGTCAAATGTTTTACAGCATGCAGGCATTGCTTCAATTATCAGAGACACAAGAGGACTTAATGTCTTACTTTACTCTTTTGTGACAAGGTCTCACTATGTATGTATGTCGCCAGGGTGGTCTCTGGCTCTCCAGCCTCCAACCGCAGAGCCCCAGGATCACAGGTCTGTGCCACTCTCTCTGCTCTTACTTTTTACACTGTGGCCCTTGGCAGTAGGAAACCCGGCACAGAGGCGGGGTGGAGAGTGGTTTAGCAGTCTGCTTGACCTGGCCTGCTTCACCTGTAGGCCATCAAGGCAGACCACCCTCCACATCAGAGCTCTCCAAGGGCTCCTGACTGATGCAGAGTGACTGCCACCTTGTGTAGGTGTGGTGCCCGCCAGAATCCCTCATAAGGGGTGAGGCTCTGCTACTGCGCAGGCCCCTCCCCTCTGTGCTCTGGGCAGAGGAGGATCTGGAAAATATTTCTATTCAGACTCAGGAAATGCACCTCAGTCTTACGCTGCTTCCCAAAGTGCTGCATGGGGCAGTGAGGGGATGGGGCATACGGGGGATGATGACAGGGACAAGATTCCGCTCCCTGCTCCTCCTTCCAAGAGGCAAGAGGAGGGGGGAGGCATAGGGGGACGCCATAGGGGGACACTCAAGTGGCTGAGGAACCCTTCTGGGCAGAAGACCCAGGGATTTGGCTGGGGGTTGGGAACTGTGGTGGCCTCAAACTCCTGATACTCTTGCCTCAGCTTCTCAAACCTTTCCTAGAGCCCGAGGCCATGTCCCAGCATCCGAGCTAGGCAGCATTACTGGATGTGAATGGAGATATTTTCTCTATTGTGTAATTTCTTTCTGGCATTTTCCATATTGAAGGCTGTACTTGCGGCCAGAAAGTAGTGTTTAGAAATGAGAGGCCTGGAGAGATGGCTCAGTGGTTAAGAGCACTGGCTGCTCTTCCAGAGGATTCAGGTTCTGATCTGATTTCTAGTCTCAGTACCCACATGGTAGTCTGTAACTCCAGTCCTAGTGGATCCACACCCTCTTCTGGCCTCCTCCAGCACATGCCCAGTTCACAGACACATGAAATAAAACGTGTGTGTGTGTGTGTGTGTGTGTGTGTGTGTGTGTGTGTGTGTGTGTAGAAGCCAGCTTAAGTTGCTTGTTATGAAAGCAGTAGGACCTGGTCTTGGATCCTCAGAACCAGTTAAGTCCAGCATGGAGGCAAGCACTTAATCTAGGCACTGGGGAGGTAAAAACTGGCAGATCCGGAGGGCTCACTGGTCAGCCAGACAAACCCATGTGCTTGTAGGCACCAAGCTAATGAGAGCTCCTGTCTCAAATAAAAACAAAAAAACAAAACAACCAAGGCTGTCCTCTGGCCTCCACGGTGCCTAGGTTTCCTGCCAAGGCCTTATAACTGGGGAACTCAAGCAAGCTGGCTCCATGGACCTGACCCATCAGTGCCATAAGCAGTCGAACCCACAGCTCGGGATCTTGATGTAAAGAACCCATGAGGCCACTGACCATCAACTCATTTGTCACTGAAATTCATTTGTCACCAGGTGGCCTTCAGAAGAGCATGGGTAGACCAGAGAGGTGGAGTCACTCCTTAGACCACTCGGCTTGGTGACGCCAAAAGAGCCTTGAGTTCTTCTCATGCTGGCCACGCAGCTCTGGAAACCCCAAGATGCAGGAAGGGTTTATGGTGAGGTGGTAAGGGCCCAAATTCCCGCCTGCACAGAACCTTAGACTAAAACCCAATTTGGAAACAGGATCTTTGGAGATGTAATTCAAGATGTAAAATGAGATTATCCTGGGCCAAAGTGACCCCTACATCTAAAGAGAGCATCTCTCAAGACATACAGGAGAGGGTGTGTGAAGACAGGGTTGGAGCCAGGAGCAATGCAGTCTCTAGGATCAGGGAGAGCAGAGGGCTCTCTCTTCGGGATTGTGGATGGAGCAGGGTCATTCCAACACTTGATCCAGGGCTTCCAGAACTATG